ATATTCTATTATTCTATTATTCTATTATATTATCTTATACTAAGACTATAGTCTTACCTAGATTTAAATAATATAACTTAGAGAGTTAGTTTAATTAGATTTAAGCTTTTTAGTCTTTTATAATAAGTATATAAATAATTATTAATCCTATAAAGGAGGATAATATTAAAAATATATTAAACCCTCTTAATATACCTATAGAGATTAAGATATATAAAGTAGAATTTTATAAAATTATAAAACTTAATAAACCTATTAAAGTAAACTTTAAAATATTTAATATACTTAAAGCCTTATCTAATTAAAAGTAGTAAAAATATAAGATTACCTTATAAGTATATAAGAAGAGTAAAACTAAGCTAAATAAGGTCTATAAACTTATTATATTATTTATTAATCTTTATTTAATAATTAAAGTATATAATAAGCTTAAAAAAGAATACTTAAAAGGATATACTATTTACTAATTAGTTAAAAGGCTTAAGTTAATTATTACTTTAAATATAGTATATATAGAGGTTAAGGTAGACTATATTTATAGAAGTATACTATAAGATATATATTAAGGGAATATTAGTATTAAAAAATAGCTTAAGAATTAGGAGGTAGTATATAATTATATAAATATACTTAATATACTATTAACTAATAGTTATTTTATAATTAATAATTTCTTTAAAGCTATTAAAGTAAAGCTATATTTAGAATAGGCTTTATTATAGCTATATAAGAATAAAGTTTATATTATTTAAGGTAAAAAACTAAAAATAACCTTATTAGAATATAAGACCTCTTTTTATATAAGTAATAAGCTATAACCCCTAAAATTAGCTCTTATATATAATATACCTTATAATAATAAAAAGTATAGAAAGGATAAGCCTAAGGACTTTATATATCCTTATAATACTAAAAAAAGGTATTAGTAGAAGCCTAAGAAATACTATATACTTTAATTTACTATAATAGGTAATAAAAAGGTATATATTATAAGGCCTCTAACTACCTAGTAGATCTTTAATATTAAGAGCTACTTTAATACTAAATATAATATATATATAAGAATAAAGTATATATAGTATAAAGGTAATAGGAGCTTTATTAGTAGTAAAGGAAAGAGTAATAAATTTATATATATATTATTTAGACCTAAACTCTTAGAAGATTATAAGGATAAGTATAACTTTCTTAAAAAACTAGCTTATACTATTAATATAGCTCTTATAGACTTAAGTAAATACTATTTATATAAATCTATACTCCTTAATAACTATAATAGTATATATATTATTAATAATATAGTACTTCTTAACTTAGAATTAATTTAGGTTCTAGATAATAGATTTTCTATAAATACTAGTAAATAAATTCTTTAGCTAGATAGTGTTAGAACCTATATAATAATAAATATATTAAATATTAAGGGTAAATCTAAAACCCTAATATTAAATAATATATATATAATATTAGAAATACTAGTTAATATTATATTAAAAATACTAGTTTACTTTATTAGTTTATAACTATATAGCTTTAATTATACCTTATATAAAGGAGATATAATAAAAAGTAAAGTAGTTTAATAGTTAATATACTCTAATAACCTTATATTCTTTAAATATATTCTTCTTTAATAATTACTAATATACCTAAAAGATAATATAGTTATAATACTATTAAGGTAAAAAAAGGGATAAAGCTATAAATACTTTACCTAACTACTACTAGTATTATAAGCTAATAAATACCTATAGTATCTTTATTTAGGGTATTTAGGGCTATAGGCCTTAAGTATAATTAGTAAAAGTATATTAAATATAAAGATTATTAAAACTAAGTATATTAACTATAAAAGCTATATATTAACCTATATAGGCTAAGTTATCTTATAATAACCTAGCTATAACCCTATATAAAGACTATTTAATAGGATTAGTTAGGATTTTTAAGACTATCCTATAAGTTATAATAGTAAATTCTAGTTACTTATTATTAAAGATAAGTATATAGGGTATATCTATTATTAGCTATTACCTTTAAAAGTATAAAGACCCCTATTTTATACTATCTAAGCTTTCTATATATAGGTAAAAACCTAATATAGACTAAATATATATATAATATAGTAAGATAATAAGCCCTTAATAATTTAATATAATTCTACCTATACTAAGTATTAGCTTTAGGTATAAGAAAAAGGAATTACCTTAAAGATACTACTACTATATATAAAAGAGCTAAATAGTAGTATTAAGTATATAGAATAAGAGATAACTATATACTCTATTAAGATATTATATAGTACTAACCTCCTAGGGAACCTATAGCCTAAAAGTTATATAACTATTATAATACTAATATATATTAGTTTATTATAGAAGTATAACTAGAAGATACTATATAAAGTACTTATTAAATAGCTATAAAAGAATTCCTAAGTATATATATATAAACCTATACTTATATTAAATACTTAGCCTAAGTAGAGAGCTCTATAAGCCTATAGATACTATATATATATACTATTAAGAAAAAAGGAGTAAGGGTCTAATAAAAAAGACTTTAAGATTAGCCTTAAAAGCTATATTAAATATTTAGTTAGCTATATTATAACTAATATTTATAAGGTATAGATTCTTTAACTAAAGTATATTATTATTATAAGGAATATATATTTTAATAAGAAGCTATTTTACTAGCTACTAATAAAGAGTACTAATATACTTCCTATTACTAAGGTAGATAGCCTTTATTAAGAACTATTCTAGAATAAAAAGGATAAGCTATAGCTTTATCTAAAGATAATTATACTACTATACCTAAGTAAAAGAGAGCTAAGTAATATTATAATAAAAGTGCTAAAAAGCCTTATAATAAAAGTATTAAAGCTTAATATAGCTTAAGGTATAAGGTTAATAACTTTTAAAGGCCTTTAAAGAGAAATATTAAAAGTTATAGTAGATAATAATACCTTATTAGTTAACCTTAAAGTAATATATAAATTACCTTAGGAACTACTAAGTCCTAAGTTAATTCTACTTTTAGAGGAGGAAATTAATTATACTAATAAAGTAGCTACTTTAAAAAATAATAAATTCTAACTTACCCTAAAAAAGCTACTATCTATAAATATAAGTAGCCTTAACCTAGAAGAAAGTATTAAAGATATTTTATAATAAAACGCTAAAAGTATACCTATACCTAAACCTAATCTAATTATTTCCTTTAAAAAGCTAGTTATTAAGAAAGATAAATAAAGCCTTTATAAAGAAAGAAAGGAGTAAATAAAATATATAAAAGGCTAGAATATAGCTATCCTTCTAGAACCCTAAGAAGATATAATTATTAGAGTTAAAACACTCTATAACCTATATAAAAGAGATTAAAGCTTACTATAGCTCTTTATAATACTAGTAAATATATTCTAAATAAATAAAATAGTTTAACTATAATTATATTACTACTATAATAATCTTCTACTAGTATTAAAAGATAGTTAAGTAATAAGGAATTATCTACTTTAATAGCTCTAGGAAGCTACTAAGTAAAGTAAATTTAAATAAGTAGAAAAGAAGGGAACCTTTAAGATTATAACTAAAACTAATAATATAAAGATATTACTTCTTTACTAGGTTTATATATATAAATTTAATTAATAAGGTTACTTATTATAATATAAAGTATAAATTATTATAAGAAGTAATTTATAGGTAATTAAGAAATATAATATAATATATATAGCTATACTTATAGTAAAAGCCTTCTAAGTAATAATAGCTATAGCTACTTACTTTAACCTTAAGGTATACTAATTTAATATAAAGAATACTTTCTTTAATATAACTAGACCTAATAATATCTTAAAAGTCTATATATAATTACTTAATAGATAGATAGCCCTCTTTAAGAAAGCCTTATATAGCCTAAAGGACTTACCCTATCTATAGCTTAAGGAATTTACTAATACCTTTATAAAGTATAACCTATTATAATATAAGGAGGAGCCCTATCTATACTATTCTAAAGATAGGAAGATATTCTTAGTATTTTTTATTAATAATATCCTCCTTTTCTATAGTAAAAAGTATAAAAAGTAAGCTTTATCCCTTATAATAAAGATAAAATAAGTATATAATATATATAATTAAGGAGATCTTAAGTAGTTCCTTAGTATCTATATTATATATAATAAAAGATAAAAGCTATTATTCCTTAGCTATAAATAATATATTAAGAAGATAGCTAAGAAATATAAACTTACTTATAATTAACCTAGAAAGTAGTATATACTATTACTATCTAGAAAGCTTACTTAATATACTAGTATAGTAAGTAAAGTAGATATTTACTACTTTTAAGAGTTAATAAGGTTAATATTATATATATTAATTATAGTCTAGTTAGATATTATA